TTAAATCAAGTCGTATATTCATAAAAAACACAGATGTATCAATGTTATCTGTATACATGTATTTTGTTTGAGGGCATCAATGAAAATAAGACTAGTTCTTAAATTGAGTTACCCTCTTTTAATAAAGAATTTATTATTATATTATTATAAAGACATGTTTATACATGTATGCTTATAATTTGTTGTATGTAAAAGAATTGTCTACATTGTAGTTCTTTTTTGTAGTATACCTCCAAAAAATCCTCTTCCATGTCTTCAAAAGCTGCATCATCAATGGCTGATTTGTCAACAACCTGAAGTTCTTTGGAATCCTAAAACAGATTTGAATATATATTATATTAACTCGATACATCAACAGTCAGATGGATGGTTTTAACAGAATTACAATTAAAGAACCTTAGTGAGCACGCTCACATACCCCACGTCCCCACATTGTCATTGGAGAAATAAAATAAATGTAAGAAAAAAAAATTGTATCAGAAAAAAAAATTGAATCATAATTTCCTGTCAATATGCACATCTACATAGTATGTCCTTATCATCTACACAGTTTCATGAAATTCTGTTGTGTGGTTTGAGAGGAGTTGCTATGACAAAAGGTTGCAGTAGTATATTGGGCAAATAAGTTCAAAGGGGTGTAACTCCTGGAAAAAAAATTGAATCGTAATTTCCTGTCGTTTTGCACATCTACGTAGTATGTCCTTATTATCTGAAAAGGTTTCATGAAATTCTGTTGTGTTGTTTGAGAGGAGTTGCGATGACAAAAGGTTGCAGTAGTATATTGGGAAAATAAGTTCAAAGGGGCGTAACTCCTGGAAAAAAAATTGAATCGTAATTTCCTGTCGATATGCACATCTACGTAGTATGTCCTTATTATCTGAAAAGGTTTCATGAAATTCTGTTGTGTGGTTTGAGAGGAGTTGCGATGACAAAAGGTTGCAGTAGTATATTGGGAAAATAAGTTCAAAGGGGCGTAACTCCTGGAAAAAAAATTGAATTGTAATTTCCTGTCGATATGCACATCTACGTAGTATGTCCTTATTATCTGAAAAGGTTTCATGAAATTCTGTTGTGTGGTTTGAGAGGAGTTGCAATGACAAACTGTTGCAGTAGTACATTAAAGTAAATAAGTTCAAAGGGGTGTAACTCCTAGAAAAAGAATTGAATTGTAATTTCCTGTCGATATGCACAACTACATAGTATGTTCTTATTATCTAAAAAGGTTTTGTGAAATTCTGTTGTGTGGTTTGAGAGGAGTAGAGATGACAAGAAACAGGACTGACAGACTGATGGACAGACAGACGGGTCAAAAACATTATACCCTCCGCAACTCGTTGCGTGGGGTATAAAAATATACAAACTTCTACAAATACAGTTATCTCCCATAATTTAATGTTCAACTTGAAATTTTAGATTCAGAGAAGAGTAAAATCAAAATAGACATCTATTCATCAAAGTCTGATTTTACTTTTAAAATATTCATGTACATTTAATCAAATTAAACATTGAAACTGGCCTTTATTCAATGTTTAATTTGATGAAATTGATGTCTTGTCTAAAATCTACCCAAATGTGACTTAATGATTTCTCAGTTTGAAATGTAACGAAATTTTGTTCATTGTGTACATGATTTTTTGTCTAAAAAGATGACATGAAAAAACGTATTGATTGATAATGATATATCAAAGGTTTTGGAATGGCAATGTTCTATTGTGACGTCAAATTTTACCTGAACTTTTGTGATGTCCAGTAATGGCAGACAAAAAGCGATAAGGGGTATAAGAAAAGTCAACAGTAATAAACTTATATAGTTGTAATATTGTATGCATGAGAACAAGAACATAATAAGCAATTGATAAAAAGGTTAAATAATTAAAGAACCTATTTTCTTTAAAAATGTAAAAACCATAAAAAAAATGGTGGTCCAAGGGTGTTAACCCTCTTGCTGCCAAAGGTATATTTATGGTTTCTACACACAAAACTTGTTTATTATATAGAACGTCAATTATCCAAGGTAACGTCACAATATAGAGGGGCACTGATGCAATGGGGACATTGAATTAGTAGGTAACCCGATGCAATGCAAACTATGATTTCTCTTCATATCCAGCATGTCATCCTTTCCCAGTTGCAATCTAAATTTTCAGCCATTCATCTCGGTTCTTACTTCCAATGTTCTCCCCAGAAATTTTGGATAGCATCACATTTGGCGTAAAAAAAATAAAACTGTATTTTTGTTTTAATGTCATTTGTTGCATTGTGGCGATGCTCTATTTCCTTTAAGTTATGTTTATATTGTACAATTCATAACTGAGAATACAATTAAAGTATAACAGTTGTTTCAGTTTATGTCTTCTAACTTCTATATTCATTTATAGTTACAGAATTATATTTTTCCTCTTGTCAGAAACTACATGTACCAACTAAATATCTAGTACAAAAAAGAACTTTTTTTATATCAAAAAGGAAGAGAAAGTATAATATAGCAATAAAATTTCAATTAAAAAACAATTCTGTTTATCATGTTTATGAAATTCATTGTTTCCTGGGACTCATGTATTAGTCCCAGTTGTTTCTTATCAAAATGATATATTTTTTTTAATAAAGTTAAGCTACTTTAATCAGTATATTAAAACAATGCATTTACAAAATGAATACATTTAGCAAGGAGATCTAACAAATAGTCTGTTAATGTTTGGGATCATTATTATTTTGTCAGCTGTGCCATTTGTGCGTCTGTAGTTATTATTTTACAAATGCGGATTTTGGTCATAGCTGGTCCGCTTCCGATGAATCCCGCATCCGATCTGTAGTTTGTACAAATATTTCAATGGCGGTCGAAGAAAAAATAAATAAAAAAAAAAAAAAAACAATGTTTGACAAGCAATTAGGAATGAAAATGACGCTTTTAATGCAATAAATGGATGAAACATTAACTAAAGGCAATTTCAATCACTTTTTAATGAAGTATCAAACTTATTTTGCAGAAAATAAAAATGTTTAATATACCTTCTCGAGTAACAAGTACCGGAAGGGAAAGAAAATACTTCTTTGAAAGTTGTTAGTTTGAAATAACATACGACGAAACCTCTTTTCTAAAGAAATAAATCATTTATATCTATGAATTCCTTTACTTATAAATGAAAAATTGCTGTTTAATCGACATGAAAAAATCGCCTAGTTGTACAACTTGGTTTGGTCAGTCAGTTTGTCAACATCAACGTACCCTGCGTATGTTTTTTTCTTCTCTTAGAAGACGGTTGATATGATGCAAACGTAGATTTCGAATTGTTGATGATTTTCTGATTACATTTTCTCGATGTCAGAATTTGCGATTGGACCATGTGTTATTAGTCATGTTGTAAGTGTCAGCTTGGGGTATTCGTATCAAACAGTTATCACCCAAAGGGCAATTAACACCTTTTAATCACTCTTAATTGCCTAATTACAATTAAAGGTGATATAATTTTTATGATCACAAGCGGTAATTAGATGATAGTTCAAAAATTAGGACATCGATTTTGCAGCAATGTATAGAGACAAGAAAATATAGCATCCTCAAAATATTTATAGTGTCAAGGAAATTATTATAGCATCACGGAAAAAATGTTTAGCGTCGCGGTGCAGGGACGCTAAAACAGCCTGGGAAGATCACTGTACTTTGTAGGACCTCCTGAGCAACAGATTAATTAGATCTCATCTTTAATATTGCATGCAATACCTGCAACTGGACATTGAACAAACAACAATTTATCAATCAACAAATTTTAAAAGATATTTCATGTATGCCAATTACAATGTGTATTTCATCATAGAAAATAAAAATAAAAATATAATGTTTTCAAGTCGTGATTAATGATTGATTCAGGCTCAAATGTAGACTCTTCCCTCGTTTTTCTGTTTTTTAAATTCATATTTCAAACATTTCCATACAATTTTTAGCGATGAGTAAAGTAATAATAAACATGACTAAAAAAATAGAAAAATTTATATGGATAATAATGTTTAGATATTTTTTCCTCGCCTACTGAAACAAGGCTTTGAATGTAAAATTTAATATGACAAATACCTTATAACACAAAGTATATTCTGTAATCAGAAAATCATAAACAATTCGAAATCTACGTTTGCATCATGGCACAACCGTCTTCTAAGAGAAGAAAAAAATATATGCAGGGTACGTCGATGTTGACAAAGTATGTCACAGAATAGGCTGTTCAGAGACTGCAGAGTTTTATTTAATTTTTACTTGTACATGCATTGTTTTTATATTTAATAGGTGTCGTTGTTTTGTTTATATAATTATTTAAGAGATTCTTTTCAGTTATTATCAATTATAACAAGGTTTACTGAGCTAATCAGGTAACAAGGATAAATGTATTCTAGTATTTTATGGGTGGTTAAGAATCAGTTATGCATTTCACATGACATATTTGGATTATGTTGATAGCCGTCTGTGTTTGAATTATGTTGATAGTCGTCTGTGTTTTCATTTTGGCTTTTTTATATGTTATACCTCTATCATAACCATTGTACATCAACTGTATTCCCTTGAAGCTTGATAGACAATTATTTTCACATCCGAAATGAATGTTGTCAATAACAACAATGGACACAAATATATACAAAAAAGGTACACAATCTCCGGAATCGTAACTTTTTTCAAGTGAAGTTAATAACATTAAACTTAGAACACTGTTTCATTTTATAATCGTTTAAATATCTATGAAATTTTTTTTTATGTAAATTATGGGTACAATCAAATTAGATTCATCAAAATCATTACATGAAAAGGAATACGTATACGGGATCATCTAACGTAATTTATTTTTTTATTAGTTTCGCCAGAGATATATATATCTTTAGTTTCGCATATTATTATAGATATCGACTTATTCTTCGAGTAAAATACTTTTTTTAAATCAAATTTGATTTTTTATATTTTTTAATATATATAAATGGTCTTTTTTCCGAGCACTGAAATTTTAAGGACAATTCATCCGAAACTATAGTTGGCAGTTGTCGTTGGTAACGTTGTAAATAATACATGTAGCATAATCTGGATCAACTCTTGAATTTAATTGACATTCCTGCAAAATGGCAGAGGTAAAACAATATTTTATTAACTTTAATATACATACCGTTTGAGTGTTTTCTTTTTTTTAACCTGTATCAGAAGACCCAAATGGGAAAGCAATCCTGATTCACAGACATTGAAAGAACAAATTATAAAGTGGCTATTATTTCAAATCCATGGACCACCATGACCCTTGAGCTATGTACAGAGTTATGCCTTATGGCAGTAAATGTTTACATTGCTTTCAGGTGTTTATATCAGTGTGCTTTCACTCCAGTCTTTTGAACCTTTGGCATATGAGATGCACAAGTGTATTCTTATTTCAAACTACTGTTTATTTTGTTATAAATGGGGGTAACTTCATGACGAATAACGGTAAAAAACCTTGCCAAATGACGTTAAGGTTAATTTTTGGTGCATGATGATGAAATATACACACTCTTAAAGACGATTTTGACGAATCACGTTAAATATTTTCCTAAAATTACGGTAACGATAATAATTTGAGACCTCTGACGAATCACGATAAGGATATTTTGACAAATGACAGTAAAATTTTAGCCAATTTGACGCTAACAGTAGCCAAAAATGACCGTTTGACGCCTGACGGTAAAGGGCATTTCTACCCTCGCAAATGGAAGGCACATTAATTCTAGGAAAAATAAGACTGGAAATTTTTACACTAGTGTATATCTTCCAATTGTCACAACACAGTCTGGGGAGATTCCTAGCTACTTTGGCATCTGGACAAATCAGCACAGTATATATATGCCAGTAAACACCAAAAATATTGTATAGTTAAACAGGCCGCACGCACCAACATCCTCCTCTTTTGAAAAAAAAAGATATACATAGACAAAATTCAACAACAACACATAATTTTTTTCCACATAACTTATGTTTAACATTATTGGTAACTCAGTCGCAGTGTTCTGTAGATAAAAGGAGATAAAAGTACAAGATTTAATAGGCAAATAAGGGAGCAACCATTTAACTTCAATGGGGGGGAGGGGGTTGTGTTTTTTTTGTCTGAGTTAGAAAAAAGTTTTCCCGCAAAGCGCGAACATTTTTTTTTAGTTTTTTCGATGCTATCAATCAAATTATTTTTTTCAAAATTTAACACTTCAAGGTATGGGGAAAATCTGGATTCAGAATATTTTTTTTTGTCATCTGCTTGACCACAATATTTTTTTCTTCCTAAAATTGAGGATCAGAATATTTTTTTAGGAAAAAACCATATCCCCCCCCCCCCCCCCCCCCCCTCCCCCCTTGAAGTTATATGGTCGTTCCCTAATGCAATGCCTAATCAGTATACAGTTATGTTATTATATGAGTATAAAAGCATTGAAAGTTCATTATTTATAATTATCATGATTAGATACAATTCACATTGTTGAACATTATCTGCACACAGCATATGTATTAAAGATTGTCTGTTTAATTTTTGAAACAGGATAAGAAACCAGATAAATCGGCAATAGATGATAGTGCATTTGAATCTCTGGAAAAAGATTTCCAAGATGTGAGTATTTGTAAATTTTACAGGATTCTGAATTTGTGTCCCATTATAAACCTTAGTTCTGACAAAAAAAAATATATTTACAGGGCATTAGTTTGAAAAGAACCTATATAAATTACAATTACTATTGTTTTCAAGTGTCATCAATTAGATTATTGATTACAACATTTTCAATTGTAATTTATGAAATTGATAATTGTGTCATGTAATTATGATTTCTTCTTAATAACTAAATACAATTTTGTTATTTTTTTGCATATCATTTAATGTTGTCTCTTAATGTTTAATATCATGTAACATAAAATCTTTTAGTTTTCAATGATCATAATAACAATTAAACAGTTAATATGAAGCATAATTTATTTTATTAATCACAACATGTGTACAAGCGAATAAATAGATAAGATATAAACAGGGATAAGTGTCTACATGTTTTGGTTAACTTTTGTTGTTTAGTTGCTATCTCATCAAATTTTACCCCATATCTCCTTTTAATCATATAAGTGAACCTAAAAACAATATTTTAACAAACAAATGTTCTACAAATCTGTTAAAAGAATACTCAGCAGCAGATTTTCATAATAAGTTGTGATGATAGACATTGTTTAATACAAATATCAGTCTACTTCTGTGCAGGGAGGTTAGATAATATGCATACATTTTTATTATTCTAGGTTCTCAACCAGCTTACTGGCAGTGAGGGAATGGATAAGTTTAGAGAACAATTTGAGAAACTTCATAAAGCTTTGAAAAAGTCACATGATGGAGAAAAGAGATTGATGCAAAAATGTCGTGAGTTGAATGCTGAGATCGTAGCGAATTCTGCCAAAGTAGCCACTGCCCTCAAACTTTCTCAGGATGACCAACATACAATTACAGAACTTAAAAAGGTAAATTTATTATTTTCCCAGCTTACTAATCAATCTCAATATGACCAATGGAAACAACATTCATCACATAATTTTTCAAAAATGTCAGAAATTTGGAAAATTCACCACTATTTTTTTTATCATTTCTGAAGACTAGTGGAGAAAAAATGAGAAATTACAACATCTTAAATTGAATATACTGCATAAGCTTGTTATGTCTAGTAAAAAAATATCAAATGTGATTAGGAAAAGTACACTTTATTTATGATTGTAGGAACTTGACAGAGTATGGAAGATGGCAGATCAGGCTAATGAGAAAGAAACAAGAGCAAGGGAGACAATTCAAGATTTGAGATTGGAGGTCATTAATTTGAGTAAGCTTGTTGAACAAGGTGCTAACTTAACAATGGGACAAGAACACAGGTAAACTTTATGAAGATCAATTTCAAAAGATATAGTTACTTCACAAAAGTTCACCATATCTGTTAAAAACTATACTGAACGGCAGATTTTCAGTATGTTTTACCATCATTGGTCTCAATGTTTATAATATGAAATTTGATAAAATTCATTATTTTCAATTCAAGATATGTTGCATTTTGATTTCAATACTTTGATCTTAGCAATTAGTATTATTACTGTTTTTAAGTAAACTCAATAAATAATCAGCATCATCAGGTGAAAGACTTTTCTTAATATCAAGAACTTTATAAGAAATCCCTCTTATTTGTTATAAACATTTTACGTGCTTGTAAAAAATAAGTGACCTCAATAAAACTTCTATTATTCCCCATGCTAACTAAAAATTCTATTACAGTGTGAATGGTCTTTTGAAAATAAAAGAAGATTTAACAAAGGAAAGAGAAGAACATTTAAAGGAGATTGCTAAATTACAAGAAGCTGCAGAAAACTCCAACAGTATACAAAGTAAAATAGAAGGGGAAAAACAAAAATTAGACGAGAAAATTCAGGAGGTGAGAAATAGCTTTACAAAAAATAAACATTTTTTTAATGGAGTGTCATGTTCATAGGAAGGTTTATCTTTGATTTAAAATCTTATTTACAGAAATTTTTGCAATTCTATAGAATATTACTTTTTTTCATGCTAAAATGTATCAGGAAGTTGCCAAAACTTTTTTTTATTTTAAAGACCGTTTATTCTTTTCGGGCACAACACTGCGCTGATCCTCGTCTTTTCAAGCTAAATCCAGTTTTCAATGTCAATTTTATCTTTACCATTTAAACAAATTATAGGGAAACTGTTTTAAAAAAGCAGATGAGTAACTTTAAAAAAAGAAAATAGCTAACTTCTTTGTGAATTTATTAATATTTATGAGGTAATTTATTTTATTATTAAATTTCCTTGCATGCTTTAATATTTTTGTCAATAAAATAAATGTGTATAGTTTTCTTAGGTAAAAGCATCTTGTATGATTAAACATCATTTTTCTTTAAAGAAACAACTTTTTCTCCAAACTCATATTAACAATGTACTACCACAAATTTCATTGAATCCACAATACTATTTTGGATTAAAACATGTACCTTTAAGTTGCAATTGTATTTGCAAGAACTAATAGGAACTCTTAAACAAATGTAATATATATATATATATTAAATTTTGTAGTTAACCCAAGACATACAAATAAGGAATAATGACGCACAGAGAGAGAATAGGAAAAAAGAGAAGATGGAAAGAGAACTGAAACAAACAAAAGCTGAGTTGGATGCAAAGAACAGTGAAATAAAATCAGCCAGATCTACAATGGAACGTCACAATCTGGAAAAGTCCCATTTGGAGCAGCAGCTTAAGGAACAGAGGGTAGGTGCTTTTGAATTTGGTATATCTAAATTATAAAGCCTATAATTCAACTGTTGATTTTTGTTGTGACTGTGTCTTTTTGTTGCTTATTTCTTATTGTAAAAAACAAGATTGTAAAAATAGTTACTTCTAACTATAATCTCAATTTCTACTTAATTTTATAATCATTGGTAAAAAACAAGGATAAATGAAATTGTTTTTCAAGATACCTATTTGGTATTTAAAAAAACACCTCAGAATTAAGCATTCCAATCTTTTTTGGATGTTTTTTATACCCCACCTACAAAATTAGGAGGGATTATGTTTTCTAGTTTGTGTCAAATTGTGTGTCTATCTGTTTCATGTTAAAGTTTTGGATCAAGGTATATTACCATGAAGTTGTGGTCACATCAACTTGAGACTCAGTACACAATGTTCATCATGATGTGAATTCTTTGAAGTATTCCAAATTAGGGTTTCTATACAGTTTTTGTGGTGCACTAAACAAAGAAAGTGATATTGTGAGCTGGACATGGTGATCTATGAGCACATATTATTGTTTACTCTTTTTTCTGTTCCTATATTTAAAAAAAAACAAACTTATACTTTGAGATTGTAATTTCCAATGTTAATTTCCTTTTTATCAGATTATGGCGGAAAGGGCAATTAAGGATGCTGATATGCAGACAACACGTTTACAGAAACTGCAACAAGATTATGACAATCAGCTGACTAATTATGAGCAACTAAATGCTGACCAGCAATCAAGACTTTCTGAACTTAAGGTAATTACAATCAAATTATCAATGACAGTAAAATGAAGATAAAACACAAATATATTAATGTATGAATAAAGATTAAACAAGATTTTAAAAAGATTTAGAAATTCATAACTGTAAATAGTTCTGTATTACAATTCACGTTGTGAAACATTTTTGGTTTCAAGTTACTGAGAGTAAATATACTGTACTTCAAAATAAAACTAAATAATGAATGAGAATGTTGCCTATTGTTTGGCTTGTTCAATAATTATGTTAAATTTCCATTAAATTCAAAACAGTGTCCATTATTAATTAATGTCTTGTTTCTTGTACAATCAATATCAATTGGAGCTTCAGTGAGCAAGTGGTCTAAGTCAGGAGCCTGTTGTTCAGTGATTGTCGTTTGTTGGTGTGGTTCATATGAGTTTCTCGTTTCTCGTTTTTTATATAGATTAGACCATTGGTTTTCCTGTTTGAATTGTTTTACACTAGTCTTTTTGGGGCCCTTTATAATTTGCTGTTCGGTGTGTGCAAAGGCTCCGTGTTGAAGGTCGTACTTTGACCTATAATTGTTTACTTTTTACACATTGTGACTTTGATGAATATTTGTCTCATTGGCACTCATACCACATCTTCTTATTTATATGTAGTTATCTACAGGGATTACTAGTATGTCAACTTTGAGTTTGTAGTGTTTTAAATCCTGTTTGTGGTGAGGTGTGTTTAACTCTTAATTTACAAGGTTTTTCTGCACTTCTGCCAAAAGTTGTTGATTCTCCAGGTACTCTGGTTTCTTCCACCAATAAAACTTGACCACCATGATATAGCCATGGTCACTGAAAGTAGAGACAAACAAACAAACTGATATTAAATAAAAATTTGAATTTAATGTATGAAATGTATTACAGCAAAAAGATGATGAGATCAATCAGCTGAAGAAGGAAACAACAAGATTAAATAAAGTAAGGGAGACAATCCAGAGACGACTAAGACAAATAGAAGATCTGAAAGCTGAAGTTGAACAACAGAAAGAAATCCTGAAAAGTCAAAATCTAGCTTTAGAAAGAGGTGATTATTTTATATTATTGCTATTTTTACGAAATTTTCCTTTGATCTTACTGACTGATAATTTGCTTTCTCAGCACAGTAGTTTGATATAAAAAGTTATCCCTAGAAACTAATGGTGCATGTGCCGATGTCAATGTAAACTTCATTGTTGTCATAGGCAAGATAGGGATAAACAGATTATCATTGCTCATCTCAACGAGATTGCTTTTCTCACTTTCGCTGTACCAGCTCAAGCGAGAAAATCAATCTCGCTGAGATGACCAACGATAATCTATAATTATTTACTTCAAAACATCCAACAATAATCTTTATATGAAACATACAATAAAATTTTATTTAATTTTTTTTTCAAATATAAGTGTTTAATATAAGACAAAGTAACAAACATTCAACTATTATTGGATTTTAAATGTACTTTTTAAAACCACACTTTTGCGTGTATTTCAGATCTTGATGCCACTATTAAGAAAGTAGACACTGGTAAAAAGGAAAACCAAGATGTTGTGAAGAAATTTGAAACTGAGAAGAAGGTAACCTATTAATTATTATTTGTTGAGAATTGATTCTTTATTTTGAATTGATTGATTGTTGTGTTTGAAAAGGACATTTTTTTTTTTCTTATAATTTACACAAAATATAGAACACACATTTGATTTATATAACATTAATCACTGTGAAAAAAAATTATTGTTTTTTAGGGTTCAGAAAAGATGAAGAATGAATTCCAGAAAAGATTTGAAGAAATGGCTGCTGATATCAACAAATTCAAGAAAGCAGAACAGGAAATAGAAAATTACAAGGATGAGGCCCAGAAACAAAGAAAAATCATCTACCAACTGGAGAAAGAAAGAGACAGATATATCAATGAAGCCAGTGATCTTACACAAAAGGTGATTATCTTTTTATGTATGGTACCTGTTATTATCATACTTATTGATTGATTGATAGATCAATTGATTAGTTCATTCATTTACTTGTTTTATTTTAAAAATTTTCATATATATTCCGTCTGTTTTTCATTCTATATTTTTATGCCCTTACAGTCACCAAAGGGGGCATTAAGTGTTACCCTTGTCGTCTGTATGCATATCCCGAAATTGGTTTCCGTTCTTTTACTTTAGTTTGCCTCAACCAAATGTTATGAAACTTATACACAATACTTATTACAACAAAACACAAATCTAATTCGAATTTGGGTGGTGTCACTTTTACCTTTCTCCAGTTATGCCCCTTTTTAATGTTATATGCAGGTGGGGTCATCATCTGTGTCCATGCATCTGTGTCCCATGGACACATTCTCCATTTATTTTTTAATTCTTCATGATATATAGTTATACATTACATGTACATCAGTCATCTGACATGTTTGTCTGTGTAAAAAATGTTTTGAAGGAAACAAAACCAATGGCATGTGCTATAATATTTATTAACTTATTAAATTACATATGCTCATAAACAACATTTAATTTCAACATTTATGCTGCCACAGAAAACATCTTTTGTGGAAAATATTAAATTTGTAATGCATTAAAATGTTTTGTAGGTCTTGGAACACATGGAGTTGGTTAAGACAAAGGAAATGAAAATATTTGAATACAAGAAGAAAATAGCTGAAGCTGAGACAAGACTTAGACAACAGCAAAACTTGTACGAGGCTGTCAGAAGTGATCGTAACTTGTACAGCAAAAACTTGATTGAGTCTCAGGTGAGAAAATGGAAAAATAATCAGTATCTGAGAGATCTAAGTAAAAATTAAAAGGAAAATGTAATAAAGTTTTAAAAAGGCCTTGTTGATGTAAGCTGTAAATAAGATTTTTGTTAGGAAATGCATCACCTGTATTATCAATTACTCATATTATGGATTAAGAATTTAAGGGAGATTCATTTTTGGTAGCCTGAGAGTTATTTGGATCAATTTGAGCTTTAACTAAGAAAAATTGTAAAATGAAGAAAAAAATTTGCACCTTCAAATCCAATTTATTTTCTATTGATACTGATACTTAAGATATGATTTGCACAAATGCAGTGAAAAGGTAATTAGTCATCTAATTCCTGGCAATAAATTATTTTAAATCAGTTGAGTTGTTTATAAATGTGAACATTTTACCATTCATAGGATGAAATCACTGAGATGAAGAAGAAACTAAAGAACATGAACCATCTGATAGATCAGTTGAAGGAAGATATACAGAACAAGGAGAATGCCATCGTCCAGGCTGCTGTCAAGGCCAAGAAACTGGAGAAGGATAAGGATATCCTGAAGTCTGAGAGAGACAAGAGTAGACAACAAGTACTGGAGAGTAAGGATGTCATCAACAACCAAGCTGCAGAGGAAAAGAAATTACTGAAGATTATTGCTGAGGCTGATGCAGAGAGAGTCAGACAAAAGAAAGAATTAGAACAAGTAAATAATTTTGTCTTTGATTAAAGATTATGTTCTTGATGAACTTAATGATTTTATTTCATGTCATTCTCCAGTGTTATTGTTCAGTTTTATAAAATGAAGTTATTTATTTCTTGGCATGACGAACCTAAAACAAAACAGCTAAAACTATCAAAATTACACTTTGCATGAAGGTCTAAAGCATCTTATTTTTGATATATATAAAATGCATGATTAATTAAACACTATTTGACTGCTAGGGTGTGTTTTGAACCAGAGTTTTGGGGTTAAGATGGCAAATGCAATCAAAACCTTTATGAAACTGGCTTGATATTTATATTTTAACAGACCTTATCACTACTTGATAGAGTACAAAAATATAGTGCATTGAGGAGAACATTCTTTTTCATCCTTTTCATGTACCTATCATGAAATGTATCAATGAATTGTAAACTTGGATATTAAAGTAACAAAAAGATGTGTATGTGTAAAATGATACTTTGTCAAGAAAATTTGCATTAGATTATAGTTGTGCATGTTACATTAATATTTTTTTCTAAAAAAAATTCGATGATCTCACTGTGAAAGGGTAATATTTTTTTCCAGAGATTAAAATTTAGCTTGCCTTCCTTTGTCCAGTATAAAATGTAGATGAACTAACTACTGGTATAACTATGGGCAAAGGATAATATCTCCAGATAAGCCCTTTGATTTAGATGCTGTTTACTATTTATATATATTGTTTTGTAGGTTATAAGTGAAAGAGATATTTTAGGAACACAGCTGGTTAGACGTAATGATGAGTTAGCTTTGCTGTATGAGAAGATAAAGATCCAACAGTCAACACTGAACAAAGGAGAAATCCAGTATAATCAACGACTAGAGGATATTAGAGTACTTAAACTAGAGATCAGAAAACTGAGAAGAGCCAACAACATCCTCAACAAGAGTGTAGCCAATGTTGGAGATCTGAGGTAAATGATGCAAATGATACAAACTAAAGAAAAACGGAAAAAAGATAGAAATAGATATAATTAAATAATCAAGTAAAGAAGCTGTTTCGGAAAAAGGCTTTGTGAATCATTGTCTATATAAAAAGCATGGATTTTATATTCATTGAAATAAGAACTAATGTTAGAGAAACATTCATTTCTGAATTCTGAGATTTTGAATGAAATGCTAATTCTTTTAAAAGCTGAACATTTATATTTTCTTACAGACGTGAGGTTTACCACATTCAGAGAGAACTTTTGAGAGAGAGAACAAGATGTAAAGCATTGGAGGAGGAACTTGAGAATCCTATGAATATTCATAGATGGAGAAAACTAGAGGTAGGTTTTGCACTTTGAAACAATTTTGTTTTACAATTAAGGAATATTTTTGTTATTGAGGAAGTTTGAGAATATGCTCTGTAATAGATATGTTAAAAAGAAATATAAAATTATTTTTTCTGAAAAATTGCCCATTTGTACAATCTTGACCATGTTAAAATCTTTTAAAGGGAAGTGATCCAAGTCAGTTTGAGATGATACAGAAGATCCACACACTACAGAAGCGTTTGATTGCCAAGACAGAGGAGGTTGTGGAGAAGGAGTTATTGATCCAGGAGAAGGAGAAGTTGTATCTAGAACTGAAGCACATCCTGGCAAGACAACCAGGTCCAGAAGTGGCAGAACAATTACAGATTTATCAACAAACACTGAAAGAAAAGACAAAACAAATGAAGGTAATATCCCTAGTAGATTTGGTGGACCTGTATTGGAGAAGTTATTGGAAGAAAAGTTCATATATTCTTGACAATCACACTAGTTCATCCGTCAAATTTAAATAAAATAAATGATGTTTCCATCCCATGTCACAGAAAATTTAACTTTGGCAGCTTATTCTTATACTGTAAATTCTTTTGGATAAGAGCTTATAACTGGAAAAGTGTTTTGATAATTTTGAGTGCACCTAATATTGAAAAAAAGGCAGTTAGAGAAGAGAAAATTTATTGCACATTGTATCTTATATACAAATTTTATTAACGATTCATATTTAAACATGTACATACTTTTTTATCTCAGTTTACTATGGTTTTACTTACAGAATTGTATATCATTAGTTATTTTTGACATTTTGTATCCCTCACAAAACTCATCATGTGTACACTCCAGATTAAACTTTGATATTATTTCTGTACAGGCTATGGCATCAGAACTGAACATGTACGAATCCCAGGTCGGTGAATATAAGTATGAGATAGAAAGAATTGCCAGAGAGTTACAAGAAGTCAAGAAGAAATATTTTATGCAGAAAAAGAAAGAGTCACAAACAAAGTAAGTTTAGAATCATATTGACTTGTAAAAGAAATTTGGGTGGACAATGAAGAAAAAAAGACAAATTTTTTTTAAATTTTTTATCAGTCATACTTGTGTATTATATTATAATATACCATGATGAAAAGTGTATATTGCAATCTTTGAAAATTTAGATAAACTTTTATTATGATTTTGTGGTTTATTTTTTAAACAAACATTTTATTTTACTCAATTAAGTTTGTTTATTTGAATACATAAATTGACAATTTTATTGTTTTCAAAATGTTTTTAGATATTCTATTTTCTGTTTCAAGTTTAACAAATATGTATGAGCTGTTATGAAAAGATTCAAAGTAAAATTATTAAGGTAAAATAATAGCAATTTCCTATGATTTTTTTGTGTTTTTTTTTCAGAGAGAGGGAGCGTACACTAGCTCAAGCAGGGGCTCCTGTTATACAACCACAAAGATCGGATGGTCCACGTTTCACAGGTGGAGGATTTAATTTGAAAGCAACAAAAGGAGCAACGTAGCATAGACCACATTTAGGACATTTCACAAAAACTTCTACAGAAAACAGAAAAATTATAAACTATAATTTTTTATTTTAAACACTGTATCAACAAAATGTTATCTGTCTTTTTTGGAATTTCCAAATGAAATGTTGAGATTATATTCAGAAGAATTGGGAGGGGGAATTTAAAAAAAAATTTAAAAGATGACTTGAGTGCATAGTTTCATAAGAATAAGTTGAGTTTTATTTGAAAAATCTCAAAACATAAGTAAGATTTCACTTAACGGATTATTCAGTTTTGTTGTTTTCATGAAAATGGTAAAACAGATTTTGAATATGAAGTTTTAGAATTAAAGTGAATGATCATCTTTTGTCATCAGATGGTTTACTAATTTTTATCTCTGGTTACCGGTAACTGCAACTCCAACTAATATGAGTATAGTTTCTAAAGTTAAATTTTCATGTGAAACAGTATGAAGTTTTTAGCCACTTTCCTATAGTATTTTACTAGTAAATAATTCTTGTGAATCATTTACATCACTTCTAAAATGATAAATATATTCTACCTAATAATTCAAAATTTATGTTTCTGAATTCTTGAATTCTGTCCTGTATACAAATATTAATATCTGTGATATTTTATTTTAATCTATTAAATTCCTTTACATTATTGAGTCTTTGTTGTTTATAAACATATTTGATTTATTAGTATCTTCCTTAGACCATTGTTGTAAAATTAAGTGTTCCTTTTTGTCTTTCTTGCTACAAATTATTCGTTGGTGAATGGCAGATACAGAGTTTCATAAATATGCTTATCCACTGTAAATTTTGTATTTCTGATTGGAAAAAGAGCTACACAATTAGTACACGTATTTTGAATATGGATACCATATGGTAGGATGCTTATTTCTGGCAAATTTAAGTTTTTCATGGGTCAACCTTGTAACTTAGTTATCTATAAGGTGATCTTTAGGTTCTTTAAATCGTATTAGCCTTGCATGTCCCTTTGACAGGTGACACCTGACCTCAACCTCATTTTTATACATGGGACATTGATAAAAGTTAAGCAATCATAATTGGATAAGTTTCTCAGTTGTTAATGTAATAAACATACTAGTTATTGTCAACTATCTTTGGTCTAGAATATTATCGTAATAAGCAGATGTCCATTTAAAATTGTAACCTTACCAAGACCTCAGTTTTATGCTTCAATGACTAATGTTCAGGTTCTCAATGACTGTATTTCAACTATTTGCTTATAGAACTGTTGTGGATCTGCTTACCCTTCCAGTTTTTGAGGGAGTTCGTGTTGCTCAGTCTTTAGTTTTCTATGTTGTGATTTGTGTATTGTTTGTCTTTTGGCTTTTTTTTTGCCATGGCGTTGTCAGTTTATTTTCTACTAATGAGTTTAAATGTCCATTTGGTATCTTTCACCTCTCTTTTGTAAGGTATACATATCTGTCTGATAGGGATATTGTGACCTTTTCCTCATTCTCATTGTAATTTTTACATTAAATTTTCATGAGAAGTTCATTTTTGCAACTAATTAAAGTTACAGGCCAAGCAGTTGTATTCAAACATTATGTTATGTGTACATATGATACCAAAAGGAAGGATTCAACTGAACTTTACTCAGCATACAAGTATATATTACAACAAAAGCAACAAAAAATTACAAGACAGAACATATCATTCAGTCACAGAAAATTATGCTGGTAAACAATTCTGCACCTGTATTGTGGAAAAGTGATTTTGTCTCAAATGGTTTTGTGTAAACATTTTGAAACTCCAGAAGTATCAGAAGACATTTTAGGCATTGTCCTATGTAGTGTTGATTACCTATATATATTTATTTATTTGGTTTCTGATGTTGACTCTTTTTTAAATGAAAGAAGAAGTCTTTACCAAAAGCAATGTCAGTTTTTTTAACAACTTTTACAGGCACTGATTAAAATTTCAAACTATTTTGAAACAACTGTCATTTATTTGGTTGTCATTTCAACCTCAACCATGATTCAGTTTTATTGTTTTTTTTTTAACTCAACCACAACTCTAGTTAATTAGTTGAAATGCATACAAGTTGACTTTTTGATGAAATCCTTCAACAGAAAATTTCAAGGATTGATTGACCAAAGTTTTGGTCAAAAGGATGATTTGACCTCCATAACATTTTGATGATTTAGGTTGATAAAAAGACTTAGTGTAACTATTTTGATGTAAAGTAGATGTTTGACATGGTGTATGGCTTTAGTTATTATTAGGACCTCTGATGTTCAGTAGTTTTAGATTCCCATAATCTGCTCAGATTTTTAGTGATAACTTTTAATCTGAACCCAAACTCATCATGTACGTAGCAAACTTTCTGAACAGGGACTCAAAATTCAGTGGTTCACGTTTATTAATTCTCCACTAGAGCTAAATTTTTGGGGTTCCCCATGACATATAACAAATTATACTAGGCTTAAATGTAAGGGTATTCTGTTATCAAAATCAACTGAATATTCAATTATGCGTAGTAAAGCTTACTTTAACCAAGACTTAGATGTTAATATAAGTGGTCTATAATCTTTCGTCATGATTTAATGTTCAACGAGTTTGATTTCGTTTTAAACATGGATAAGATTAGTGTTGTTTGTCTTATATATCAATTGGGTATTAAGATGTTCACTTATACCTTAATCCACAACCATGACTCAAGCGTTTACTCTCAATTGCAAGTCAAAAATCAACTCTAGTGTTTGATTTTTTTACATGAATCATTATTTACAAAGAACGTTCAGATCCTAGTTTTATTGGTACTACATATACGTTGGTTTACAAAGAACGTTTAGATCCTAGTTTTATTTTGGTACTACATCTACGTTGGTTAACAAAGAACGTTCAGATCCTAGTTTAATTGCTACTACATATATGTTGGTTTACAAAGAACGTTCAGATCGTAGTTTTCTTGGTACTACATCTACGTTGGTTTACAAAGAACGTTAAGATCCTAGTTTTATTGGTACTACATATACGTTGGTTTACAAAGAACGTTAAGATCCTAGTTTTATTGGTACTACATATACGTTGGTTTTTAAAGAACGTTCAGATCCTAGTTTTATTGGTACTAAATATACGTTGGTTTTTAAAGAACGTTCAGATCCTTGTTTTATTGATACTACATATACGTTGGTTTGTATGCTTGTGCTGTTGTTACTCCAAAATGTGTTTTGTCTATATGACCGTGTTATAACACTATTGATATGTCCAAGCGGCTAGATACATATTTTATTGTTCTGATGATGGCATACTTTAAACAATAATAGGTTTACACGAATTTGTATTGAGGTAGTTTCTAATATGTCATCAGACAGTCATTGTTAGTTAGTCCTTAATAGGAATACGTCGAAATAACTTTATTTGGTTTATAAAAAGTGTGTGTTCATCCAGAGACATATATACACACACCGTAAATATATATATGTCTCTAGCTGTTTCATCTAAATAAGTTGTACCTGAACTTGACCTTATTGTTCATTCTCTTGTATCTAATGGTTTAAGATTTTTTACCTATTCTTTTATCAAAAAATGGTGATTATTGTATATGCGGTTATGTATATGAAGAAAACGGACAGATTCAATTGTCACGATCCGTTTACTTGGTGTTTGATAATCTTTTTTAAAATTCTTTTTCTAAGTAACCAGTGGGGACAATTAAATTTGCTGGCTTCATCACAATGTATCTTTGGTTTGATGCTCATTACCCTGGTATCATTAGTGCATAATTTGGTTTAAAATGTATGTGATTGTTTCTAAGAGAAAAAAAATGTGTTCATGTATATCTAATTGGGTTCTATGTTAAATTGTGTTGCACGCAAGCACAAATTTATTATCAATAAGTAATACTATCATTGAGAAATCTATGTCCAAACTAATTTCTGTTACCGAAAATTAATCACAAAATAACTGTTGATCTTTGACTTAGTTTTCGTGATTAATCCGATGTTAGTACCCCAAGGATGGGAACAAAAAGACAGATTACCAAAAAAAGAACGAAACGTATCATCTGTCATACATACGTTCATCCACATCAAAATATCCAAAAATAAGATGTTCAAGCGCATGATTAAATAATTTACTATTAAGAACTGTTAGATCATATTTTATCAAATTCACACACGAGAACCCGTATTTTGGAGTATCACATCAGGAGCTTTTTTTGTATGCACACTGGTTACTCATTTAAGTCTTCTGATTCTGTAAAATAATTTTGGTCGCAGATTTACACCATATTCAAAACATTCAGAATCAGGTATATTTGCACTGTTTTATACGAATTCCTCTGTATGCCACATGTTGATGTGTCTGTCCCGAGTCAAGAATAAAGTAAGGCGGCTGTCTTTGATTTGTATCTAAGTGTAAGTTGTGTCCTTTAAAGAATATGGTGCTGATAATTTTGCTTCAGTAGTCTCTATAAAAATAAAAAGATGTGAGATGATTCCACCAGAGACCAAATGGCGCAGAAGTTAGCAAATAAAGGTCACCGTACTGTTCAATTTATTTCCCCTTGTCTGGACTATCGATGATATAGTGCTTGAGACACTTATCATTGTTGAAAGCTGTATATGTTGCCCAATAGAAATCTTTTCCGATTCTATTGTTGTCTCATTTGTTTTTAATCCCGCAGCTTTATTCACTCAAATTAATTATCTTATCCCTACGCTTTAACTGAGTTAAAAAAGGTCTATGAAATCAGTTACCACATATGAATTTTTATTTTGAATGTATTATTTTGTTTGCAGATTTATGGAACTCAAACGGGCTCTGTATAGTAGTATTTTATTTATATTTCAATTCATTTATTTTTTTCTCGTGCTAACGTCATATTTGAGTTTAGTGCATTACTGCAAGTGGATTACAGTTTTTGCATTCCAGTTAAATATATTTAATGAATTATTATATTTTGTACTTAATATTGCTGTTAAAATGGATGGTATGAACGATTCATATCAATTTATCACTTGTTAGTTTACACTGTGGAAGGTAACGTCGTTTGTGGTTTAATCTACAGTTATCCAACTAATACAAAAATAAACAAATCGTAGAGCAGCAAAATCTGTTCGTACACATTGAATTTTCTCAAGTATTTGACTAATAGCCATCCATAACGGTAATGAGGTCTCCCAGTTCGTCTATGGTTCTAATCAGTTCCAAGATAAACTATCATCCCGCAGTGCAGTAATAGCAAACTATCCATCAAAAATATTGCAACATCATGGATTTTTCAATACTAGAGCATTATTATTGAAAAAAAGCTCAGACTTTGTTTCCTCCTAACTAAGGACTACTTTTTTGGTCAGTGTCAAGTAAGCACAGATCTTAAGTTACTTTTTGTTTGTCTGGTAAAACACTCTTGGTCCTATCTAATCTTCGTGTACCTTTTCTTAGGGCTAAGAAATGTCCTGAGATTTTTATTTAAGAAAAGAAATGTATAGCTCGGATTAATTATATGTCGAAGATCTAATACAATTTTAAGTACGTTTTACAATTTACCAATTTTCTCATCTTTTTCAAGTTATTTTAATGCATAGTCATCGCGTAGTTCATCGATTCTGCCCAAATTTGACAGATATTTTGTCACACATTTTCATATTCATTAACGGATCATCTATCCAGCTGTTCGATGTGTGT